CTTCAACAGGGTGCAAATGTCCAGTGAGTATATTGGAACCACATTATCTCTGATGGTGTGTTTTCATTTCGGGGTTGTACTGAGACATTCTTGTCTTGTCAAGGACAAGCTAAGAAATTTCCCTGAATAATCACAGGATACCACATTTCCTGTAAGGACTCAGATCAGTGAATTTCCTGTTGTTTCTCATTGTTAGCACTTAAAGTCATATTTAAATATCCACTGCAGAAATAGTTTTTCCCCTCCTTTGTTCTGACTCTTCATACAGCAGCAACAATCTGACATCTGTGTCACTCTGCCCACACGGAAAGAACTCATCATTATACAGACGTTTGAGTACTTCTTACAGCAAGTACTCATACTTACAGCTATGAATGTGCTCCAGCATCCTGTGTTTGGAGGGTGAAATGTGCCAATGTGTGATTTCCCACTCTCCATGTCATAGCAGTATTTCTTATAATTCATAACTAAATTAGAATTCTGATTCTACTCCAGGGCTCTACGTATTTTAGTTTATGTGAACCAATTTCTCATAACCAAATCACCTTCCTAAGGGCTGAAAAAGAAAAATTCTCTAGGCTTTGAAGTGTGTGTGTGTGTGTGTGTTCTGCAAGACAATGGTCTATCTCTTCCAGCTGCCCTTCTTACTAGCACAGGCCTCTGTAAAGTCTCAGGTAAAGGCTCACTATGGAAATAAATCACCAGAAGACCTCCACTAGCCCAAGAACAATGAAAACAGATTCTGTTTCCCATCCATATCTTCCCCTCTTTATCAGGGAGTTTATCACCTGCACAAGATCTTTTAGAAATGTTTCCCTAACTTCTCATGGTTGTGAACTACTTTTGACTGGTAGAATGTGAGACGACAAACTGACTGAATAGATTAAGCAACTGAAAACAAGTCTCAATCAGTTATTTACACCATCACAGGGAATATAGAATTCACACACAATTAACTTATTAAGCTAATTAATAGCCACTTCTATTATTGTAGCTGTTCGAAAATCATTCTTGTCCAAGAAGTAATTTCTTTTCTATTTTTTCAAAAATACATTTTTGTGTATATGAGTGGGTTTTCCCCCCTACATGAATGTATACAGTGCGCCAAATGTGTGCAGTGCCTACAGAGGCCAAAAGAGGGCACTAGATTCCCTGCAACTGAAGTTACAGACAGTTGTTAGCCACCAGCTGGGTGCTGAGACACAAACTAGGGATCTCTCCAAGACCAGCAAGTGTTCTTAATCACTGAGACGTCTGTCAAATACTTAAAATTGCTTATACACTTACCAGGCAAAGCTGTCCTACACATCAGCGTGTCACAATCTGCCTCTAAAGAGGGCCTAATGCCATATTTTCCCTTTGTCTGTGAAGAAAATTGTACATCCTGCTTCTCCTTGACACCACATGTGATAGACACGACTGTTTGCCTTTTGAAAATTGAAACACAGGACTGGGGTGTAACTCCATTTAGAGCACTTGCCCAGCACGCATAGAGTATTTGGTCCCAACACCACATTAGCTAGGTGTGAATGTACATGCCTGTGATCTCAGCACTCAAAAGGTGAGGACAGGAGGATCAGGATTAAGATCAGGAGTTCAAGACTATCCTTGTCTACACAGTGAGTCTGAGGTCACCCTGAGATATGATACCCTGTCTCAAAAAAATTAAAACTTTGCTACGTGTGGTATCAGAATTCCAGTCAAATAAATAAATAAATAACAAAAAATGTACTCTACTCCTCTACTCTAACCTACTAGTGCAATTTAATTTTATTTATTTTCACTTTTTACTTTATTCACATTTTACTATCCTGTTGCATGCATGTCCTACTTTCGTGAGTTGAGAAAATTTTCGTGAAACACAGAAAGAAAATGTACTGTCTACTCTTTACTGCCCTCTGCAGGCAGGAGGAAAGACTACATGGATAGAGTCACCAACATCTGCAGCCCAAGAGATTCTCACCCAATGGAAAAATTAAAACTGGTGTTTTTCTTTTCTTTTCTTTTCTTTTTTTTTTTTTTTTTTTTTTTTTTTTTTTTTTTTTTTTTTTTGAGACACCAACCATTAACAACCAAACACTATCTCATTACAGACAGGGATTCCTATTGCTCCTTGTTGTGCAAAGACTCCTGGGAACCATACATTCTATCAGCAGTAGTTCTCCTCATCTCCTATGACTCACACACGATGGACACCAAAGTCTTCACTTATCCTGGATCACTGCGTGGGTCGCTACAGCAATGTGCCTTTTGATTTTGAAAATTGGAATCTGAATGACAGAATACAGACTCAGTGGTTACAGTGGCATACAGGTGCAGGCATAAGCACTTCAAACTTGTGACTGCTATGCAGACAAATGGCAAAAAATGTGGAAGCCACTGTAACACAACCATCAGAGACAATGTGAGATTTTTGCTCATTTTCTTTTTACTAAAAGTATAAGGGAGTCTGCAAAATAACCAGCCAACAAGCAGCTTCAGTTTGTGTACAAAAGACTACTGATTATGCATGGGTTATTTTCCCCAGTCACACTACTTTGTATGGACAGCGACACTGTCAGTGATGTCATCTAAAACAACAGACATGAATATATTGTGCCAACTGAGCCCAAATCAATGACCTGAGTAATGCAATCAGGGTAACACTATTATTTCCTCCACTAAACCCTCCACGTCTGTGAAAAACAAATGCTAATCCTATGCGCATTCAAGGAATAGATTTCGTGGGAAAGGGAACCAAGCCCTGTTTACTTTTATTTACATTCTAATAAGTGCTTAAAGAAAACAGATCACAGAATTTGATGTCATTGTGCATGGACAGAATTGTGCAGCAGAATATGTGGTAGGGATTGTATACGTATCAAGTTCACTAACTGGGAGACAATCACCTCTGAGAATATTCTAACCAAGGATATTTTCTAAAGAATTCTTCCCCTCCATTCAGAAGGAGATTCCCTGTACCTGGTACTGGGGGTTTTGTGAGTCTTTGGTTCTCATGGGTAGCTCTATCAGCCCAAGTGGCATAACTAACTTCCTTTAAGATATATTTACATACATTCACTTATATTACTGTATATAATTTTAGGCAAATGTAAAATAATAAGATCAGGGTGGTTCAAGGAATTCTAAAACCATGGATACCTCTCAAAGGTTGAAGATAGGTCCCCAATGATGTTGACACCATACACTTAGGATACAAGACTCAGACTAATCAAGATGTATCTAATTTGAGAGCCTCCTTTCTGTGGTAATGCTACCAGAAAATGTTATGCAAGCTGCCTACAGGGGAAGCAATTAACAGTGCATCCAGTTAATGATCAGAATGGCAAGAAATCCATAAAGATGCAATAAGTGGTACTCCCAAGTCTGTGGTAACCAACTGTCTAACTGAACCCACTCAACAAGGGGAAATCATTCCTAATACTTAGAACCTCACAAATTTTCCAGGAGGCAGTGAGACCATGAGTCTTAGAAGAGAAGCTACTTCATACCACTTTGCTATAGCAACATGATTCCTAATCACATTCTAGATCTTATCTTTATACCCACAGGTATGTGTAACTATTACCCCCCATAAATCCTCTCTTAACAACAAGTGGAAATCACCACAGAAAACCAGAACTGGACACAATGCAGAGATCAAAGGATTGTGGGAAGCCCAGCCCCGGTGATCTACATTACATCTATATGCTAGATACCTCTGTACCTGTGGCTCAAGGAACGTCTCACAAGAGAGAGTAGAAAGATTGTAAGAGTCAGAATACTGGCATGTCTGCTGTGAAACCATCTCTCATAGACATGGCTGCATAAATGAAGCCTGAACAAAGGTAATCAGACACCTTACCAGATTCCACCCATAGGCAAAGAACTACAGGGAAAGAATTAACATCTCTTAGGAATGAGCCCCCTAATTGGTCACCTAATTGGTCAGCTCTGAAACCATACACACACGACAAAAACAGACTCAGCAGGCTGTATTTATATGTTTGTGCATACATTTATACATACGTAACTATGTAATAACTGAAGAAAAAGAGGTTATTAGTGTAAGTTGGGGGAAAAGGAAGAAGTGAGTGGGAAGGGACTTGAGAGGGGCTGGTAAGTGATGTAATTATGCTTTAATTAAACTGTATAAAAATAAATGAAAAATTTAAAAAATAATAATAAAGAACTTGTCTTCAAAGTGCATTCATATAGCCTTGTTAACACCCTTCTGCAACTATGGAATCAGAATGATTTGTACCATTTCTGATATAAGAGACAACACTGCTTTATAGAGTGGGCAAGAAATGTGCTTGAAAGATCTCTAGTTTTTAGTTCAGTGGTTCTCAGCCCTCCTAATGAGGCAACCCTTTAATACAATTCTTCATGTTGTGGACACCCCAACCATAAAACTATTTTCACTGCTACTTCAAAAATGCAATTTTGTTACTATTATGAATCATAAATGTAAATATCTGTGTTTTCTGGCAGTCTTAGGAGACCCCTGTGAAAAGATCATTCCATCCACGGTTTTAGATCCTTCCATCTCTGCCTGCTTCAAGATAAACAGATTTCTGTATTCTAGTTATTTCTCTTTATAATGAGCATAGAATGAACTTAACTTTGACTTAATTTTTTTCAACATCTAGAAACCTAAGCTTTCTGAAGTGAAAAGTGTTTCTTAAAAAGATTTGAAGCAGAGCCGGGGGTCGGGGGGGGGCAGGGAGAGCACACCTGTAATCCCTGCAATTGGGAGGAGGAGGCAGGAATTCAAGGTCAGTCTCAGCTACTTGGCCACCGTTACCAACCTCAGCTCTATGAGACCCCGCCTCCAAAATCAAAACCAAGAACAAGGTATCTGAGGATACGACTAAGTTAAAATTTTCTCTCTGAACACAAACGCTCCTCGTTTAACGGAGAATTCGCTTTGGATAAACTGCACAGCGGGGATTCACAAGAGCCCGGCAGAAGCCCCGCCCTCTTAGGGCGAAGCTACGGGCGGTGGGCGGGGCCTGAGCTGAGCTTGCGCAGCGCGGACCGAGCCATGGCGGACGGCGGCAACGCTGTGCAGGCCCGCGCGCTCCTGCAGCAGTGCCTGCACGCTCACCTACAAGTGCGCCCAGCCGACGGGGACGCCGCGGCTCAGTGGGTGGAGGTAATGCCCGGCCCTTCTCCCGCGACCGTGCTGGTCTTTCTTTCATCTCTCGTGGGAGGAAGAGCGCGTTCTTTTCCGTCTGCTCACCCTAGTGGACGGCCTAGTTGTCCCTTTGGACTTGCTTCTGGTGGCCTGTTCCTCATTGACTCTCTGTAACCCTCAACCTGAGGATGATCCTTCCACCTTACGTCTTAAGTGTTGGGATACCAGCGTCAGCCACCCGCCGAACTGGACTCAGAATTGTTAGGAACTCATTCACCTGCACTGTGTTAGATTTCACATCCAGCATCCCTTAACGTAGACCTGTCGTCGTAGTAAAGATCACCCGTGAACCATGTACCATGTACGTGGGTGATCTTAAACAAAGCATTAAAAGCTCTAATGTCACCGGGTGTGGTGGCAGCATTGCCTTTAATCCCAGCAGAGGCAGTTCAAGGCCAGCCATCCTGGTCTATGTACTGAGTTTCAGGCCAGCCAGGACTATGTGGAGAAAATCCTCCTTTAAATCAATCAATCTTCCAGTACCCTCACCATCTCTCTGTTCCTTGACAAAATTATCTATTTTAATCATTGCCTTCTAGTATGATAAATTCCAAACACAATCATTTAGAGTTCACCTTTTATCATTTCTCTGTTTTCCCCAACACATTCCTAATGCAGTCACACATTTTATAGCAGCCTTCCAAACTGTCCCTTTGTGTTAATAAAATGTAGACACTGTTTCAAAGGCTTTTCCTTCCCTCCCACACATTTAAAGAGCTGACAAGTAATTACTCATCCTTCACTCTGTTCTATTATCAAAGTTTTTTTTTAATGAGGCATTTTGTTTGAAAGTTACTTTGCTTCTTACCTTTATTCACGTAGACTTTGCTGCCCCAAAGGAATCCATTTCTTCCTGAGAATTGAACTTTTTAATGTCACAGTGAGAATTACTTACTTTCCGATGTATTAGTAATATATACCAAAGAAACTTCAAGCAAAATGATTTTTTTTTTCTTATTTGAATAGAGGGATTTTTAGGTCACAAGTTAAAATCTATTGTTGAAATTAAAAGGAAGTAAATAGCATACGGAAGTAGTAATGCTGTGATTGGGAAGTGTGGGTGTTTCTGGTAATAACTAGGTACTTAATTCTGGCATCCAGGTGTCAAATGGGACTGTGTGGGAAAACTTGGGCTCAAGCTCAAAATTCTGTTGGTAGAGAGATTTCTGATATTGTAGATATCTGTGACTCACTTGCCAGTCCCGTACCATAGATATGATTGGAGGTACTTGCCTATTGCTCCAGAAATACAATTGCCCCTTACAAATAAAATAAAAAATGACTGCTGGGCTGCAGAAATAGCCCCTCCATTAAGAGCAACTGCTGCTCTTGAAGAGGACTGGAGTTCAGTTCTCTGCACACGTTGGCTGACAACCTTGTGTAACTCCAGCTCCATGGGATCTGATGGCTTCCTCAAGGCTTGACAGGCACCTGCCATTGTGCACGCGCGCATGCGCGCGCGCGCATGCATAGCGCACACACACACACACACACACACACACACAATTAAAGTAAAATATTTTCCCAGGTAACCCAAGTATGAGAGCAGAGCTATATTTACCAGGAGTTCATGTGTGTAAACAGAGCCAGAAAGATAGAGTTGAATGTTAATGCCACTAACTGTTAAATTGAGTTCCAACCTTAGCATGCAAAATGCTTTGGAAGTTAAAATGTGAAATAAACTGTGCCTCTGCCTTTAAATTTATTTTTATGTGACATTTAATAAACACCTGTGTCATACTTACTGTGAACTCAGCACTGTCTTAAGTAACTTGCAATCATTAACTCCTTTAATCTTTGTGGTTGCTCCAGAACCAAGCGAAGACCCCCAGGAGTCAAACATATTAACACAGAATCACAGCTAAAACTATCACTTCAACAGTAGCATCAAAGTCATTTGTTGCTTGTTTATTTTCGTGTAGTCTTTCTTATAGGAACTAGTTTTTAAAAAAAATCCAAGTCATTACATAAGATGAATAAGTGTATATTCCTGATAACAACTAACCAACCTTTTCATATCCAACTATTGGCATAAATGTAATTTCCAAAGCCTAATTGTTGAGTTTACTTAAGGAATTGGCCACAATAGCAGGAAAAGCAATTGAAAGTTTCCTGGAGTTTGTAGAAATAGCAACTACTACTCTCTAAATAAATGACTTTGGGGAAAATAAAGAAGAGCATCGGGAGATGTCAGTGATGCTGTTGCTTGCTCAACAGTCCCGTGTGGCACAGTGGAATTCATTTGATGTTGGATAAGTCAGCCTGTAAACTAAGTCCTAAGTCTGTCAGCCTTACCTGCTCTGGAGGAGGCCGAATGAAACCTGCTGACTTTGTAGAAACAAAAGAAGGTGTGATTTGTGATCCTCACTGCTTTTGACTATATTGTAATCTTATCTCTTGGAGTAAATAATCACAGTGATTATGACTTGAGAAAGCTTGGTTTCCATAATTTACTTAGAATTCAAAATTATTCTTATTTCTCTCCCTTGGCTTTTAACCTTGGAAACATTGTAAAATGTTCCCCATTGAGCTGTTTTTCTGTAGATATCTTCCTAATCTAGATTCCTATGGTGATGTCTCACAGATCCAGAGAGGATTAGTGATCTATGTGTGCTTCTTCAAGGGAGCGGACAAAGAACTTCTTCCCAAGATGGGTATGTGTTTTCTCTCTTCTCACAGTGAGAGGGGTGTGGGAATGTCGTATTGAAACTCACCGTGATGTAGGATGAGTAAAGTTACAAAGATGGGACTATCAGAGAGAAAGTGAACAAAAAGTACAAAACCACTGTGTGGGGTTTGGTGGGATTTTGTTTTGTTTTGTTTTGTTTTTGAGGGGCCCAGGTTGAACCTAGGGTTTGTTCTTGTGCTGTGAGATAATCCTTCTATATGCTGTGAATATGTTTTGCTCTCATTCTTAATAAAGATGCTGTTTTGGCCTATAGGGAGGCAGAATAAGGCAAGGCAGGAAAGCAAACTGAAAATACAGAGAGGAAGGAGGGTAGATGCAAGCCAGCTGCCAGAGATCAGTATATATTAGAGAGCAGGGAAAGCCACAAAGCCGGAAGCCACGCGACAAAACATAGAGTAATAAAAATGGGTTAATTTAAATTGTAAGAGCTAGTTAGTAATAAGCCTGAGCTATAGGCAGAGCATTCTGTATTTAATATAAGCTTTTGTGTGATTATTTGAAACTGGACAGTCAGGACAAAAGAGAAATTCCACTCCAATTACATATATGTTAAGCAAGTGCTCTGCCACTTACCTATAACCTCAACTGAGAAGCATGATTTATTTTACTTTTACTTATGTTTTGTTTTGCTATAGTATTAGGAATCAAAGCCCAGGCCCAGAGCACTAAGCCTTTTTTAGCAATTAACATTTGAACAAAAACATTTTGAATGGAAAAGAAAAAAATGCCATAATGAGACCCAATTCTTTGTAAACTAGTATTCTTCCCCCCACCCTTAAAAATCTTAACTTACGGTCTTGACAATGTATCCAGCTGGCCTTCAATTCCTTTTACATCCCAGGAGAGCTTTGAGTGCAGTCTTTCTGCTATAGCCTCTGGAGTAGCTAGGATTGCAGGCCCAGCTCAGGAACACGGGGTGGTTGGTTGGTTTGTTCTTTCTCTTCTTTTTTAATTGAGTAATGGTGTTTTGCCTGCACATATGTCTGCCACATACATGCTTGATACCCTCAGAGGCCAAAGAGGGCATCAGATCCCCCTAGAACCTAAATTACAGGGGGTTGTAAACTGCTGGGACTAGAACCAAGGTTCCCTGGAAAAGCATCAGGGGCTCTTAACTACTGAGCCATCTCTGTAGCCCCGAGAAGCATGATCCTAAATTGTGCTAATATATTAATTATATTGCTTATTGAAAATTTAAAGGATGTACATATGGTGGAATTCTTTTAAAATATCACAGCATTGCAGGTGGTTTGAAGACTGACTTAGAAGACAGACACATGAGCCCATATGCATAACTTACTTCTGCCCAGAGTATAGAAGGTTTCGAGAGAAGAATGGCCACAGAGTTCTAGGTCCCCAAAACTGTCTGTGTGTGTGTGTGTGTGTGTGTGTGTGTGTGTGTGTGTGTGTTTATATTCATTTTACAAAATGACAGGTTTTATAGTAGTATATTATGTACTTTGACTTTATTTACTTCCCATTACCCTCTCTTCTCATCTTCCATGGTCCCATCCCTCTCCCCATCAGATAAGAGCATCCCTAATAGGGACAGTCAATGACAATGTATATGTGTACAGGATATGTGTGCAATCAAATATAGACAACTCAACCTTGCATCATTGATACAGGGGAATTTGTAGCAACCATTTATGTAAGGTTTTATATAAACATATAAATATAGTTCTCCTAGTTCTTGAACCAAATTTAATGTTATCACAACCATACTTCCTCTGAGGATATAGAAACAAAGTAAATGCTCAGGGACCTAATTTGGCTGCTACAGCTTTCTAGTGTCCTATACAGTCTAAAGCCCTGTGCATTCCTTGTGATAGATAATTCCATGGGTTCAGATGTACTGAATCAAATCACATACTGTTATAATGCAATATTTGGTTCAAAAATTATGCTCAGGAAAAAAAAAGCCTGAAATAATGGAACTGTTCCTAAGATTGGGGATGGTTTAATTGTTCCTCATTGTTAAAATAATGGCAATTATTAGAGTAGTAAGTAATTTAAGCTGAGCACAGTAGCATGTGCTTATTGTTCTAGCTCTCAGGAGACTGGGACAGGAGGGTCCCTTGATCCTGGGGTTGGAGGCCAGCCTGAACAAGAGAGCTGGCCATGTCACCAGTGAAAAAAACAATACAAACAGATAGTTGAAGCTTATAGAAGTTAACCTAGACAAGATTAGAGTAATGAAAAATGAAACTCATGGGCAGATAACCCATTGACAACGCCTTAGCCAAAAAGTCAAAACTAAGGAAATTTTACAGTGATATATCAAAATTGCCTGACAACTTTGTCAAGTGAAAACTACTTGAGAAAGGACTGTGACAGGTGAGGGAAAGTAATGACTGTAATAGTCTGGAATTTGAATCTGGAGGATAAGGAGCCTTTAAGGGTTTGAGAAAATGAGATAAAGCTCCTTCTGTTCTAGAGGAGATAGTCAGGTCCTGATGTTGAGGTGTCAAACATTCTGCTTTTTTTCCTAAATCAGTATTTTACCTTGGTCATCTCTGTTGTCCATAGGAATGTAATAAGATACTTCAAATACAAAAATAAAATGTTGGTCATTTGGAGCTGGGTGGTGATGGCACACGCCTTTAGTCCTAGCACTTGGGAGGCAGAGGCAAATCTCTGGGTTTGAGGCCAGCCTGGTCTACAGAGGGAATCCCAGGACAGCCAGGAACCCAAAACCCCTTCTCAAAAAAACAATGACTCCCGAGTGTTGGTGGCACATGCCTTTAATCCCAGCACTCAAGAGGCAGAGGCAGGCGAATTTCTGTGAGTTCAAGGCCAGCCTGGTTTACTGGTCTACAGAGTGAGTGCCAGGACAGGCTCCAAAGCAATACAAAGAAACCCCGTCTCAAAAACAAAAACAAAAACAAAACCAAAAAAAAAAAAAAAAAAAAACACACACACACACAGTCACTTGGCAAAGTTGTCATATGATGTCTTAATTATAATGAGATAAAATAAAATAAGCCCACCAAACCCAAGCTACATTTTATCTTATGGTGACTAAACCTATATGTTTCTGTCTTTGTCTTTATGAGTTCACTCTACATGTGTAAGGCTATTGAAACACAGAAGACTCCTACCTTAAGTCTTTTTATGAATAGTCTAACAAACAACGTTTATTGAGAGAGTAGCTTGTGCTTCCCTCTGTTCCATGAGTGAGCCAATGTGATGAGATTCTCTTAAAACCCACCTTTCCAATCAAGCCTTATACAACCAGTTGTGTCCATGAAGTCTGAAATACCGTAGCTATCATAGAAATGTATAGACTCTTCCTCAGTTCATCTTCAGTAGAATTGTACCAAGACCAGGGGTCTGTCAAAGCTTGATTTCCTGCCTGTGTCACTGAGAGTATTTAATAACCCATCTTACATTCTTAAAGTTTCTAACATGCTACTAATCAGCTTGCTTCTGTTTCTCTTTCTGCTGTATTTACTTCTACATACAGACATGTGAGTTCCCAGTTACAGCCAGTAGAGGGAGGTGTGTGAAAGTGTAATAAAAAAAATGGTATTACTGCTCAGTGCCTATTTATACAAAATTGCTAACTTAATCGGTCATGAGCCTGAAGCCTGGGTAGCTAAATAGTAGTTTCAATTGCAATGACATGTTCTAGAGAGTTTCTGCTTCCTGAGATGTAGTCAGTAGGGCTACTGGCTACAAAGCAGAGACCTTTTCACAACAGAGAATTACAAAGGTGTTTAAAGAGAGATGTTAGTTAAATGAAAAATGATGAGGCTTGCAGCCTAGCTTAGGAATCAACTGATTTTTACCATGATTTGTAGAGAATAATAACCAATTCCTTGCTGATGTTTTAATACTGTAATTATGTAGTAATTGAAATGTGTAGTAATCGAAATCAACCAGACTAGAAAACATGCCTTAAAAAAAGAAAAGAAAGAAAGAAAAAAAAAAAAGCCTATGTATCCCTGGCTGGGCTGAAACTCAGAGATCTGTCTACATGGATGAACTTTATGTAGAAGAACCTAATTATTGGGTCACATTTGAAGCACCTTGGTATTTTCTGTATGAAATTCAGCTTGAGCTGTCATTTAGTGATGCCCTTTTCACTGGTTTTAAGATAGGCTTTAAATATGAAACTTGGTAACCAATTAAAAGATAGATGGTTTTCTTCATGTTTGTTTTTCACTTCAAAATGTTTCACCTTTTTTTCCCCTACCCAGTTAATACGCTGTTAAACGTGAAATTAAGTGAAACAGAAAATGGCAAGCACGTCTCTATCCTGGATCTGCCTGGTGACGTTCTTATCATCCCTCAAGCCACCCTCGGGGGCAGAGTGAAAGGAAGAAACATGCAGTACCACTCTAACTCTGGGAAGGAGGAAGGCTTAGAACTGTATTCCCAGTTCGTGTGTCTGTGTGAAAAAGCCTTAGCCTCCAACAGTAAATGTGCGGAAGCAGGGGTTGTAGTGGCACATGGCACTTACGGGAACAGGCAAGTGTTAAAGCTGGACACCAATGGACCATACACGCACCTAATTGAGTTCTGAAAGATTCGTTTCCACAGCTGCTTCCTGATATAAAAGAACCTGGACTCTACTTAGTTTTGTTTGTTTGTTTGCTTTTCTTTTCCCCTTCACCTTGAAGACTCAGATCTGTGATGGGTTTAGGCAAGAAAACCCTGGATCCAAGCTAGGCATAGTGGCACATTCCTTTAATCCCGGCACTCAAGAGGCAGAGACAGACAGATTTCTGTCTCTTGGAGGCCATCCTGGTCTACATAGCAAACTCAAGGACAGCCAGAACCATGAAAGAGATCTTGTCTCAAAAATAAAGAAATTGGGAAAATAAATGAGTCATTTGTAAAAGGCAGCGCTGGTTTGTGCAAACTCCTCTGACTTGACTTTAAAATGTTTTTTAAGAGTGAAAACTAGGGCATAGTGATGACTCAAATCGTGAAGAGATTTTGCTACTCTTCCAGAGGATCAGGGTTCGGTGCCCATCATAGATGCATCCTAACAGTCTGTACCTACGGGGCTCCCATGTGCACAAGCATACACATAAATAAAAAATAAATATTAAAAACTTTTTTAAAGTGAAAAATAATTAATTCTAATTACCAGAATTAGACATCTGAGGTAGCAGAGGAATCTTCCTGGTGGCTTAGACTTCCCTAGGTCTTCCCTGTTCTGACACTTTAAATTCCTATTGTACACACACCCTGAAATCCTTTTTTCATAGCTTTCCTGTACTGTTCTATTTTGGAACTTAAGAATCAATAACTTGAGCTCATTACCCTTAACTTTTGTTTTATTGATTTATAATACAGTTGTTGAAATATAATAAACTATTCATAAGCTTAGAAACCCCAATTTTTCTTAAATCTCCTCCAAGGACATGTGCATGTCTTTCAAAAAGATTACATTACTTACTTTAAGTCATTTTGATTTTATGCCTAGATAAAATGCTGACTCACAGCCCTAGATGGAGTTCAAGCAATTCTTACAAAAACCTGCCTGAGATGCTTGTGGAGAAAGGCACTCCAAGTTTATGGAAGGTTGTTAATTAGAAATGATGACAGATGGGGTGGGGGTGGGGGACCAGGAAAAATAATAGATTTGGAAATGATTTCATTTTGAGCACCCACCTTGAGAATGATTTTAACTATATGTTCAATTTGATGGCTCATATAGCTTCTTGCAAGGTGTCTTCAAGAAAGTGTTTCTAGAACATGCCTTTATCTATGGCACTGCACTGCTAAGAAGCTGTTGTAATTCTTGTCTGCAGGACAAAGCCTACACATCAGTGGTTGGAATCAAGGTTCCCCTACAGTCAATCAACTGTAGTGAGTTCTGATCACCAAGAGTAAAATTTAACATACATTGTCTTTTGATAAAAGTGTGGTTGTTATTCTCCAAGACAAGTGGCAAAGAATGCCATAGTATTTGATACTGCTATTTGGTAACTTTTATTCTGTCAACAGATCATTAATGTAGACACTCTTCATAAGCCAGAACCTTGGGTGGTAACTTGCAAAGAAAGAGCAAAGTCCAAGAGGCCAAAAACTCCACAGATAGCAGAGAGGCAGAGAGACAAGAAACATTGCTAAGCGAAGGTAATTTTCAATACATAAAAAAGAGGCCAGCAAGACAGCTGGAAGTAAAAGTACTGGCTACCAAGATGGCTCATGGGTAAAAGTGCCTACTTAATGATCTGAGTTCAATCCCTGGGACCCATGTGGTGGAAGGAGAGAACCAACTCCCATGAGTTGTCCTCTGACCTCCATGTGTGCATTGTGACATGTGTGCACCCATTTGTGTAATCAGTCCATAAAATATGAAAAGCAAGTGTATATACTAAAGAAAAATTAAATAACGTAAGGTTGGAGGAGACGCCTGTGGCCTAAAAGTTAAGAGTTTTCAGAATGGGTAGTGGTGGCATAAACCTATAATTCCAGCACAGGCAGAGGCAGGTGGATCTCTATGAGGTCTAGGCCAGCCTGGTCTACAGAATGAGTTCCAGGACAGCCAAGGCTACACGGAGAAACCTTGTCTCAAAATAAATAAATAAATAAATAAATAAATAAATAAATAAAATAAAAAGTTTCAAAGCTTATAGGACAATTGAAATGTTTCTTAGTTACTTTTCTATTGCTGTGAAGAGACAACATGACCAAGAGAACATAGTTTACTGGGAGCTTTCTTAAAATTCCAAAGGATTATCCCATAGCCATCATGGTGGGGTGGCAGCAGACAGGCGTGCATAATGCTGGAGCAATGGCTGAGAGCTTACATATTGAGACAATAACCATGAGGCAGAGAGAGCCAATGGTACAGACTTTTGAAACCTCAAAGCCACCCTCAGTGACCTATCACCTCCAACAAGGCCACACCTCCTAATCCTCAAAGAGTTCCACCAACTGGGGTTCAAGCAGTCAAGCATCTCATTCTAACCATCACAAAGTCTTTGCAACAGTAGGGACTCGTAAATTTCTGTAAAAGATAGCATCTCAGCTTGTGCAGGACTCACCAAGAGAATCTCTTGAAATGCAATTCTAAATCACAATCTTAGATGTCAAAAGCTATAGTCACCAGTCTACCTGCCAGGTGACTCTTGCACACACTGGAATCCCAGACCTCACCCAGAACCAAGTTCAGACTTCTAAGGCTGATACCAGGGGGTTTTGTTTCGGCTTTTTACACTTATTTATAGTGAGGGGATGTACGCCTCAAAATCAGTATGGATGTCAAAGGACATTTTGCAGGAATTGGTCCTTCCACCATGTGTGTCCTGGGGATTGAACTCAGGTCTGGCAGCAAGTGCCTTTACCCATTGAACTACCTCACCTGCCCTGGTCTTTTATAACTTGGCTCCAGCTCGCCTTTCAAAACTTTCCTCCCACACTGCCCTCAGAGCTTCCTTAGTATGGATGTAGCATCATTTTTCAGGTCACACCCTTAATTGTCTTTTTCCCCCCTCTAAATCCATCATCATTTGCTTTGTAGCTTCAGACAGTCTTTCATCCCTACAATAATTTCTGTTGCCATCATCCTTCGTATTATACTTTACCAGTCTTGCAACCTGTGATGTGTGATGACATTGAGTACTTCTTATTTCTGGACTGTAAGAGTATATTTACGTGGAGAGACAGGGTAATAGTGGGCAGACAGCATACAGTTCAAATATTTTATCCTGCAGCGTTGCTGCACCTGTTACCTTGCTTGGCAGTTCTCAGTGAGCTCTATCAGAGGCAATGGGGGGGATATGTCAGAGACTTACTGACACTCTTGATGTTGGTCCAATTACATTGTTGAGTCACATTGCATTTCTTAGTTATAAAGATTAGAGCTACAAGAAGTAAGTTTAATATAGCTGCACCTTGCTTTACTATAATGTAGGATGCCAGAAGAGTGCCATGCCAACAAGAGCAAATGATTTGTGTGTTGTCTCAAGGTTCACTCCGTAGTATCTTTCTACTAAAGCACAGCTGTGTTTATATAAAAGTTTTGTCTATAACAGTGTTCAAAAAGCAAATATCCTTAAAATACACAAGTTAAATACCATGCAAGGAAACATATATGTTAGTGGGTGAATTGTGCGAATTATGTTTATAAATACGAATTTTGGTGCAGCAAGCTTTGTTGGCACACTCCCCATCTAATCTCAGAATAAAGCAGTTCTGTGGTACGCAACACAAACAGCAAGTGCCTAGATAAAGATCATCCTGTTTGTTTTACACAGGGTCTCACTAAGTAGCTCTGGCTGTCCTCCAACTCACTATGTAGACCGAGCTGCCCATGAACTCACAGATATATGCCTGCCCCATGTTTCAAGTGATTAATAAAGGCATGCATCACTATAACTCCATGGTCCTACTCTTATCTGTTGTTTTTTATTTTAAGTTATGGGAGCACGAATAAATTTGCTTCAAAGGGGCTCAGGGAGAGAAGGGATTCCCCAAGGAAAAAGGTCCCCATGGCAGGTGAGCAGCAAGCCAGGGCAAGACACTCTGGAGAGCATCAAAGACCAAGCTCTACAGTGCCTCCTGTGGCTGCCTGCTGTGCATCAGAGAAGACCAGGAAGCAACAAACCCCTACCTATCCCAGAATGCCTGTGAACTGGAATCTCCAGGCAGTCATTTGAGGTAACAATAAAAGCTGGTGAACACAGTAAGTAGCCACAGTGTGTGTCTTGGGCTTTATTTAGAAGGATGGGACATGGTGGTGAGGGATCCCAGTTGGGAGAGCACTAGGTACCTGGAATCTATGTGAGTGGCTGAGTCCCCAGGGGAGGGTCCAACTGGCCTCTTGAAAGCAGCACAGACACCAGTAGGCAAGATCTTCAGATGGGTGTTAGTACAGGGCATCGGTCATGTCAGAAAGGGGTTTTGCTTACTGACACTGGGCTTCAAAAGGCCTGAGTGGACTGGGATTTAGTGAGAAAGGGGGTCCATGTTGTGGAATAGTAGTTTAAGATGTTTATTCTGTAGAATATTTGTTTAATGATGCAAAGATGTGTTGCATTCTTTTATGTTGCATTTGTTTAACTCTATAAAGCTGTTACTTTGCCTGTCTAAATAAAACACCTGATTGGTCTAATAAAGAGCTGAATGTCCAATAGCTAGGCAGGAGAGGAATAGGCGAGGCTGCCAGGCAGAGAAAATAAATAGGAGGAGAAATCTAGGCTCAAGAAAAGAGAGAGATCAAGAAGTGAGAAAAGGAGAAGAAGAAGATGCCAGGTGCCAGCCACACAGCCAGTCACAGAGTAAGAAGGAAAGGAAGCTATAGAGAATAAAGAGAGGTAAAAAGCCCAAGGTCACTGGGTTGTGGTGGCACACACTTGAATCCCAGCACTCAGAAGGCAGAGGCAGGTGGATCTCTGTGAGTTCAAAGCAAGCCTGGTCTACAGAGTGAGTTCCAGGACAGCTAGGGCCACACAGAGAAACCCTGTCTAGAAAAACAAAACAAAAAAATCCCAGAACCAAAATGTAGTTAAAGAGAGATGGGATAAGTTAGAAAGCTGAATAGAAACAAGCCAAGCTAAGTCTCCATGTATTTATTTGAGAGTTGGGTGGCAGGCCCCCAAACAGGAAAAAAAAA